AAATGCCTAGCATAAAATTAACCTAACTAGACCATAGTTAAATACCAGGAAAATTTATTTGATTCGGGGACTATTGCTTGTTTTTAATCCTATTCCTCTTCTGTTCAAGCCTGTTTTTTTGAGCAAGGTAATTCAACAATAAAATCATAATCAACGGTCGTGACTGACAGTTTTTGTTAATAAACCGGATGGTTTTTTTTATTGATGGCTTGACTACCTAGGATAAATTGAAGGGAAGTTTCCTAATTTGTTGTGATGAGAATGCCTTCAGCTCTCTAAAATAGAAAGCTACTTGGCTGAGTTTTTGATGATAAAAATTTTGAGCATAGTGAGCATGCTAAATTTTATTTTGTCAGGACGAATTTTATTGATTGATGTCCAAGCAGATAATGTATATAAACCTTTGTTTGACTTAGTTTGCTATATGATGGACATCCTCAGAGCTGGGTCTCATTCATGTAAAAGTCTCATGTTGGCACTAGTTTGCTATATTTTCTTTTTGAATTCTACCCTAAATTGTGTAATTATACTATTTTCCACATAACTTAATACTTATACTTCCCTACAACTAGGCTCCTCCTTTATTATATAATACTTTCCAGTCAGCTGATCAGAATAAAAGAATGAAAAGTCCTTCTTATAATCAATCAGCTCAGTCCAAATCCACTGCCCTCGACTTAGAACTTACTGCATCCGATTCTCAGGTGCCGATGATCCTCTTCGCCTCCACTGGCGTTCAGACGTCTTTACCATCCTCTGATTCTCCTCAGGCGATTACGGGACAAATCACTAGCAAAACAAAACTTCTATACGACCAGGACCACTCTGCCTATGAGGTCCCTTCTGAACGTGCATCTACCTCGATAGGTCTCGAAACTCGGGCGGAAGAAGTTTACTCTGATCCAGTTAAAAGGAGACGAGATAGCCAAAGCAGCGCAGGTTCATCAAAAACAAAACTCTCTTCTGCAACCCAGGCAGCTCTTTCCTTGCCTAAAGATTTGCTGAATGAAGAAACCGGTTTGCCTTTATTTGGCTATTCGTATTTGTGGTTATTAAATATGCATGTGAATATAGTAAATTCATATTATTTAATTTGTTATCTTGTTAGCATATGAAATATAAGATTTCCCTCCACCTAATTCGGACAAAAGCGGATTAAGTTTTAAGGTTGTATTTGGGAGTCTATTCGTTCTAGTTGAAACTCATACTAAGTTCAAAAAACTTTCGGGAGTTTTAAGAATATCTTGGGTCAAAAGTTCTTTGAGAATTTGTTAATGATATAAACTTTGAGTTGGTCATTTGAAGGTCAATTCAAAAGCTTTTTCGGTGTAACTATTAGATAACCATCTCTGATAGTTCACCTCCCAGCAAAATATCCGTGGGTATTTGATAACAAAATAATGCTGATTTAAATGCATGACATAGTTCTGGCTGATATGTAAAGGAGCTATGAGGATCACTATCATGGCCCATAAATTTGGGTAACAAGTAATTGTAGATATGACAAGTAACTGGATTTCGATGAATCTCCTGTTATAACATTGCTGGGGAGACCTTCATTTCGTATGAAAGTGTATGGAGGAGAGATTCGTAGAAAGATCTCACCAGAAGACGACGGCAGGATCCCGTTGTATTGCACCCGTTTGGCATTGCTACGACGTTCAGGTTGACGCAGTCTACGAGACATCCTCCCTTGCTTTGGGTGAAAACTGGCTTAGCTTTCGTCCATCATCTGATGGAACTCCTCAGAGTTGGAAGTCAGATTATATGGTCTCATATCTGTCGCTTTGCTAATTATGTTATATCTGCAACTAATCACAACGTTAGCAAGGCCAGCAAAGCCAGTCGACAGCTGTACAAGGTAAATTCGCCACCATCTTCTTGCTGGATCGACATTTGAATCTTTTCAATACACACTTAAACTCGAAGTGGAAGAGAGTTCCACAAATGAAAACCGAGATATTTCTCAAAACCTGACTTTGCTTTACTTATGCTTCGCTGGTATCAGATGACTCACCACGTTTATCAGGTTTGTAAGAATCTTAGCAAATTTAGGCAATTCTACGCTTCCATACGTTCACAACACAAATGAAATGCTTTTACAGAATTTATCGAAGGTCTTTTCATAGTATTCCTGTCATAATTTACGCCTTAAGCAATGCTTGCAACCACTTATTGTAGTTTTTAATTTATTAAATGTAGTTGAAGCCTCTTCTGGCACGAGACTAGGAAAAACTCAAAGACTTGGTTCTTCTGTTCTTTTCCGTTGGCCGACGAACAATTGGTTTTTTCCTGGTGCGTATAGTAATAATATATTTAAGTAAAGTTTTTGGATATAAACTAATACAGAACACTTTTATAGAACACAAACTTAAAGAAATACAATTCAAGTCAATTGGAAGATATTTATTCCTGGTGTAGATGAGAGGAGAAAAAAAAGTTTGAAAAATTGGATGGAATATTTCCAAAAGAAGTTTGCATGTAAAAATAGCACACATTCAAATTACTTCGTTACTTTAGTTTCCAAGGCCATTTTTGCCTTAATTTATAAATTCAAGTTCATGCAATTAAAATATTTCACACCATTAACATTTTAAGGCTGCTAATCTTACCGCATAAAATGCATTCGTAATCAAAAAATAGCGATCATTAATGTGAGGTTTCACATGTGAAATTGGCAAAACTAAATCACTCTGACGAGGCGCTTACACTACATTTTATTGACCACAAAGCACTTTTAAAGAAATAGGTCATTCGGAATACATTATAAGGCTTAAATGATGTAGCATAAAGCGTACTCAAAACAGTGAGTAGAGAGAATCATTGTAATCTTTAAAGTTGCAGAAATAATGACAGGCATTTCAATGCAATAACACTATTATCCATGTTTTCAAATAGGTCACTAGAATGGTTTTTAACTAGGTTTTAAAATCTTTTCTTAAAGATTGAGATCCTGAATTAATCGAAAGATTTCCTGAAATTTGAAATACGATTAAAAATATCTTTAGGTTCTGTAGCAAAATTTTTGTAATAGTATGTTAATAATAAATTGGTTTCGATATTATAAATATAACTTGAATAAAAGCTATAGTTACCCTTGGTTACATGAAGCGATGAAGGGCTAATATTTGTAAGGAAGCCGATTAAATTATGTAAAATTTCACGCTTTGGGCTGAATGTAGGCCCAGGAAAGGTAACTACCTCAGATTTCCGAGTTAGTATTTGAACCTGCCATTGATCCCTCACGAGATCAAAAATTGAGTAATTGTGAGCTTTCTTCATTCATCCTTGCAGTGGTG